CCGAATCACAAGCAAGCGACCTAGGCTTCCCTCCTTTACACCCAATAGTGCTATAGAAACTGTTAAAAATGGTATTAGAATAAATTCTAAAGGCCTAGAAAGTAATTCTAAAGTTAAAGAGTACAAACAACCTCATTTGCCACAACCCATCCACTATCGAAACATAGGGATAAAAAAGGGGTGGTGGGTTAAATTAATCTGGTGTTTGTTATTGTCCAGTCCTTTTGCTTTGATGGAAATCCCTGAAAGGCGTCAATAGAATCCTAGTAGACTTGTTTGGTTGCCACAGAGGAGAATTGTTTTAAAACTACGTAAGCTTTTTTCGTTCTTTCCCTTCGTTTAGATAGGTTTGTTATTCGTGTCGGGCGAGATGAGATCGTATCGAATTTTTATGGGTTTGTGTTAAAAAATATTCTACATATACCTAATTTATTTATTAATTCGTATCTAATGAATTGTGTTATATCGAGTTAGTGTTATATATAATTCGTGTATAACAAATATATAAATGAGTNTTGACCAATTGATATAGGGTACCGGTGTTAAAGAGTTCATATGTGATGTGACCTAGGTAAGTGAACATGGATAAAGAATGTGGGACAATAACTTTACACAAAATTAAGGTACTACGATATAAATAGAAAATTAATGTGAATAATAAATAAATATTAATTAGTCTCAAACATGAATAACTTGATTATGACGGAATAATTTCATTCAATTTAATCCAAAATCTTATTGTAAAATATCGGATATAATAATGGGATTTAAAGGAGTAACTTAATGCTGTTACTAATAATGAGAGTTCCAATGACCTACATGAACCTGACCCCTATGCAAACTCCACCAAACTGAGAATTTTGTCTCCTTATACCTCAAAATGAAATATATAAAAAATATAGATATATATATATATATATATTCTCTCCTGGTTTCTACGGTGCACTGCCAGCCCCAGTGGATAAGTATGTGAGAACTGGGAGGGAATTCCGTACTGAGTCAGTCGGCAGTGAAACAGGGCGGTCAAAGAGCTCCAGTCTTAGCTGGGAACACGTGCGAGTGTGTTACAACAGCACGTGCATTGGGGAACCAAGGGGTTTGGATTGGACTGCACCGGCAATCTTGCCCGGTTGACTACAGACACTCTGGGTTCTCTCAGGCGTGGCTCGTGGCCCCGCACTCTCACTCTCACCAATACCTCAACCCACTCCTTCTATTTACTATTTTACCCCCCTCATGACACACTGTTTTTATCCAAAAACCAAAAAAACTTTTTAATCAATCAAAATAATATATACGGGCATTTCACTTTTGTATATATACACATGCCTATTTATTATTTATTTTATTATTCTGATTATTAATAATTATCTTTCGTTTTTCAAGAGGCAATGATTAATAATTATCAACACAATATATACGACTAATAAAATAATTTTGTATGATACCAAAGCATATCATTGTGCTTCAGAAAGTAGCAAAATAGATAGGGGATGCGGTGAGCGTGGATCGAACACGCGACCTTCAGATCTTCAGTCTGACGCTCTCCCAACTGAGCTATCCCCGCCAGTTCCCTTTTCTAGCTTAAATTTAAAGCATTCAAAGGAAAAGTTGTGTGTACAATATCAAAATTAATTAAAAATTATTATTTTTAGTTCAATTGATTTGTATTTATTAATGAATAATATATATATATATAACTAAATCTTACACGTATTAAAATTTAATTAGATGGAAATAAAAAATAGGGAGAATTACACTTAGACTTCCTGAAGTTTGTCACTTAATCACTCAAATCCTGACATTTAAAATATTACACACAAACCCCCTAAAGTTTGTTCTGGCGTAACACTTATCTAGTTAATAAATTACACTTAAACTCTCCCAAAGTTTATGTGCATATAATACTTAGAACCTTTAAATTTAAAATATTATACTTAAACCAAAAATACTCAAATCAAATATAAAATATAAAATATTTTAAATTTTACAACTAAAATTCATGTTCTAATGTATCATTTATTGAAATAAAAATAAAAATAAAAATTTAATTTTTTCTTAAAAAAATCGTAATTAATATACAATTATACTATCTATTAGAATAAAACTAAGAAATCAAACAATGAGTCTAAGTCATTCATAATAGAACATGAATTTTACATCCAAAATTCATATTCTATCATGTCATTTATTGAAATAAATTAAAAATAAAAATTTATTTTTTTTAAAAAAACATAGTATATATTTATAATGTCTATCAAAATAAAACTAAAAAATTAAATAAAGAATCGAACTGTAATGAACACAATATCTTTTAAATTTAATTGAGATAGTTTGATATTTTAATTTGGTTGTTTAAACGAGTAAATTAAATTCTGATAGACAATATAATTGTATATTAATTATAATTTTTTAAGAAAAAAATGAATTTTTATTTTTGATTTTATTTCAATAAATGATACAATAGAATATGAATTTTGGTTATAAAATTTAAAATATTTTATATTTTAAATTTAAAGGGTGTAAGTATTATTTACTCACAAATTTTAAGGAGTCTAAGTATAATTTATTAATAGATATCTGTGTAATATTTCAAATGTCAAGGAATGCGAGTGTTTAAGTGATAAATTTTAAAAAGTCGGAGTGTAATTCTCTTTAAAAAAAATATGATTAAAAAGTAATTTTCAACACAGGTCCCTTTTTCTAACATGTGATGGATAGAAAAATTCTCTCTTCTGCAAATCGAATTGTGTGATGTAGGTGACATGTAGAAAGAGAAAGGACCCACCTAAACGGCATCGTTCATTTCGGAGGGCCCACTTTCAAACAACCCACCTTGTATGTGTTATCCACTAGAGGAAAAACTTTGGCTCGAATAAAAGAGGTGGGGGAGAGAGAGACAACCTGGGCCCCGCACATTCCTCTGTTCATTTTTGACCTTTGACCACCACAACCACTGGGACCACAGTAAAAACAGGACAATTTGGAAACGTAATTACTGGAAACGTAATCACGGATCCACCTTGTATGTGCTATACGATTCAACGTTGCTTTCTTATCTCCCAACGATTTCGTTACTTTCTCTAACTACAACTTCCATACAAATCTTGGCAAAGGGTAGTTATGCCATTTCAACAGTTCAAAAGGAACTTTTTTCGTATGTGCACTGTGTTATCATTACAAAGTTCACTTTGATGTAAACCTTTTGGAAATCCTTTTACTTTGCAGTTTTCTACTTTTGAGCAACAAAGTTAAAGGACTTCACCTTTAACCCAACATAATTATAAAATATTATACAATAATTAAAAACTTGTTATCTATAATATAATCAAACATAATATAATTAAAAACTTGTCTTCCACGTAAATTCAACATAATATCATGCAATACAACATAACATAACATAATCCTACATAAAAAAAACATAAAAACACAAAAATTTATACTTTTACAAGCTAAAAACAGAGAAAAAAAAACAATAATTATAAGTAAGGGCATAAAAAGCAAACAGAAAAGCATAAACGAAATGAAATAAATAAATAATAAAATTTTATACCTGTCACTTTATGATTAGTTGATAAAAGAAAATATAATGCAAAAAAACATTTTTTAATATTATAATTGAAATGAAGACAACAATATGGAAGTTGGTACCATATCGAAATTTACAATTTTTAAGGTCAATAATATACAATATTTTGAAATATACATAACAATTGATCGATCATNTTATAATTGAAATGAAGACAACAATATGGAAGTTGGTACCATATCGAAATTTACAATTTTTAAGGTCAATAATATACAATATTTTGAAATATACATAACAATTGATTGAAAATTAAAATTTTTAAATGTAAAGTCATAATTGATTAGGATTTATTCATCATTAATTATGAATCATCTCAAACAATTGTAACTTCAACTTTTAAAAAAGTATAACTCGAGCTTAAAACTTTTGAAACGATACTGAAATTCTTTTTTGATACCATGAAATGACCATTGTTATGCTACCCAAATTAAAAATTAAATCTTTCATCCTAAATATATGTACACCACATAAATAATTTTGGTGATACCAAAAAATCAACTTTTTCATATTTTTTTGGATTCAATGGTTATGAGTGTTCAATCAATTTATTCGTACCTCGATTAATCTCTTTCTCGGTCCAATTAAAAGTAAATCATCCACGACAGAGTAAGAGTATATATTAAGAATAAATTTTTCGTAACCTGACCATAAAAATTTGAATTCAAGACGTCTTAATTTATAATTCATTTATATTATTACTTGACCTAACTTNCAACTTTTTCATATTTTTTTGGATTCAATGGTTATGAGTGTTCAATCAATTTATTCATACTTCGATTAATCTCTTTCTCGGTCCAATTAAAAGTAAATCATCCACGATAGAGTAAGAGTATATATTAAGAATAAATTTTTCGTAACCTGATCATAAAAATTTGAATTCAAGACGTCTTAATTTATAATTCATTTATATTATTACTTGACCTAACTTTTTTTTTTTTGGACAGAATGTGTACAGAAGAAACAAACATAATAATCCAAACGGTAAAACTCAACACACATATAGAGAAGGACCACAAACCAATTCTTCTTTACTTGACCTAACCTTTGAGACGACAAATGTGAATTTTAATTTGAACAAGATGGTTTTATTTAATTGAACCGTACCNTTTTTTTTTTGGACAGAATGTGTACAGAAGAAACAAACATAATAATCCAAACGGTAAAACTCAACACACATATAGAGAAGGACCACAAACCAATTCTTCTTTACTTGACCTAATCTTTGAGACGACAAATGTGAATTTTAATTTGAACAACATGGTTTTATTTAATTGAACCGTACCAATTATGCCATTTAGTACCAGCTTAAGGAGAATGCCATTTAAGAGCATTGATGTAAACAGGAGTTAGATTTGAGCATGACAGTGGGTCCCACTTAGTCGCACAAAGTCCTTTGACCAACCTAACCATGGTTAGGCCTCAAGTAAATAAAACACGTGTGGGGGACGTAGGGTACATAGTCAGAATAATTCCAGAAACCACCCCTACGGCCCTGCTGGTATGTTCCTCTGTTTCATTTCGTATAAGAGAGAGCAATCCGGACCATTGTGAAAGAGAATTTGCAGAGCCCTCAGATTTAGTATACAGACTCTGTGTGTGGTTGTTTTGTTCTTTTTATATATATAGAGAGAGAAGGGCATAGATAAACGGAGAGAAAGAGAGAGGGGAGTGGAAAACATGCCTGGGAGTTTAGAGCCATTGGACGTGGGGGTCCAGATCCCATACCACTTCCGGTGCCCGATCTCGCTGGAGCTCATGTGTGATCCGGTGACCGTCAGTACCGGTCAGACTTACGACAGAGCAAGCATAGAGTCATGGGTGGCCACCGGCAATATCACGTGTCCGGTCACCAGGTCACAGCTCACTGACTTTAGCCTCATTCCCAATCACACACTCCGGCGGCTTATCCAGGATTGGTGCGTAGCCAACCGGTCTTTCGGAGTTGAACGCATTCCGACTCCCAAACAACCAGCTGATCCGGCCATGGTTCGGTCTTTACTGAGCCAAGCCTCGTCTCAGTCGAATCAGTTTAATTCAAGACTCTCAGCGCTACGGAGACTCAGGGGACTCGCTCGTGACTCGGATAAGAATCGGTTGGTGATCTCCGGTCAAAGCGCCCGTGAAGTTTTGCTTTCTATTGTTTTTCGAAATTCGGATTCGGACTCGTCCGAGTTGAATCATGAGTCACTGGCGGTTCTATCCATGTTTCCGCTTTCGGAGTCGGAGTGTTTGTTCGCAGCTTCGGATCCGGAACGAGTTGGTTATCTCGTGTCTCTTCTATTCCATTCTTCGGTTGATGTCCGAGTTAACTCGGCTGCGATGATCGAAAACGTCGCAGCTGGGACGAGATCGCCGGACCTCCGAGCACAAATCAGCAATGCCGACGAAATCTTCGAAGGAATTGTCGCAATTCTCAACTATCCATTGGCATATCCTCGTGCTTTGAAAACCGGAATCAAAGCACTGTTCGCTCTATGCTTGGTGAAGCAACACCGTCACAAGGCGGTGACCGCAGGGGCTGTGGAGGCGCTCATCGATCGATTAGCAGATTTCGAGAAATGCGACGCCGAGAGAGCGCTGGCAACGGTTGAGCTCCTTTGCCGGATTCCGTCAGGATGCGCAGCGTTTGCGGCTCACGCTCTTACCGTACCTCTATTGGTGAAGAGAATATTGAAGATTTCCGATAGGGCCACGGAGTACGCCGCCGGAGCTCTTCTCTCGCTCTGTTCATCTTCCGAGCAGACACAGCGGGAGGCGGTGGCCGCCGGAGTGTTGACTCAGTTGTTGTTACTGGTTCAGAGCGATTGTACGGATCGAGCGAAGAGAAAAGCGCAAATGTTGTTGAAATTGCTTCGCGATTCGTGGCCTTCGGATTCGATTGCGAATTCGGATGATTTTGGTTGCAGTGACGTTGTCCCATTTTGATCGTTGATGATGATTAAGTTATTTTTTTTGTAATTTCAATTAAAAAGAAAAAGAAAAAGGGAAAATGAGGTTCTAGATTTTTGGTATATAAGGGATTTTATGTCTGTATTTTTTGTATGTACGAATTTTGCTGAAAAGTTTTTTATTAAAAAAAGTTGAAAAGTGGATGAAAAATTATCCGCGCGGGATTAAGCCCGGTAATTATGTGGAGTAAGATGAGTTTGTATCAAGTTTAAACGAATCCGTATCAAAATTATTTCATCCATACTTGATTGATTTTTTAATTTGTATCTAACAAATCGTATTATATGAGGTCTGTAATGTGGGTGAATTGTATATAATCGAGTCATGTTTGGTTTACTCGTTTATAAAACGGGTGGTTAAAAAAGATTCAAATCCTCTAATTTTGTGACGTGTTAATAGATTGTGTCATATTTTGATATTCATATCTGAGATTTAAATTTTTTATAATTTTTTTATTTTAATTTCATTGACGATCACTACACAATTACTTCATGTAAGATTTATTATTTATAATTGGTTTTTTGTTTTTTCAATATGTGAATGATTGTTTAATGAAATTAAAGAAAAAATATTAGAGAAAATTTCACTTCGTTCACGTGGATTAATGTAAATTGTGTTTGGTTTGCTATAATGTAATCGTATCCACATGGTTGAGGTATGTACCATTGAGAAAAAAAATAAGATAGTAAATATTGTGTACTTCCTACAAAAAAATATTGATCCCATGAAACTTGGCTCAACTTAAATCGATGATAAAATTGTATGTATTCGGGTAATTTACTAGTTATATCAAATAATGCAAGGAATAATGCAATGAAGTATTATGCTAAACTCGTTTTACAGCAGTTGGTTATATATATGGTGACATAGCATTTTATGAATTGCAAAGAAAAAAGACACTAAAAACTTGGACAAATTGTAAATTTTGTGGCAATACAAGGCTTATAGATAGAGTGACTTGATTTTGCCCATTTCCCCCCCTTCTTGATCAGTTCCATAAAAGATGCTTTGCTACTTTTATTGTTCTATCTATAAGGACCAGTATTTCATGTCCTTTTAACAACATACTTTAACTTTGTTTTAATTCTGTTCAAGTTACGATGGATAGTCGTTAAATTTAAGAGATTAGTCGACATAAGTCCGCAGACATCCTCCTGTAACCAAAAAAAATAAAAGACGGTTTCCTGGCCCAAGTGAATCAAGCCCATTGTTAGCAAGTACTTGATATTCCAAGGTATTCTACGGGGGAGAGAGAGAGAGAGAGAGAGAGAGAGATGGTGGATGAGGCATCAGATGGACCTGTTTGTTGTATTGATGGTTCAACCTCCTTTGGCAGCCTGGGGGAGCATGCAAACGCAAGGTCTACTTAGGAATAGTGGCATTTAACAAAAGTGTTGGATTCAAAGGGCCCACCCCAAAACACATTAGTTTTATATATATCTCACACACACACATATGGTACTATAGTAGCTAGGGAAGTTTGGCTAGTAGCTATGGACTCCATAAATACATGGCATGGCATACAATTAGAATCTATCAGAAAACCTCCTAGACTAATAGGTTGGGTTTACACTCCTATATGCTGGAATAAGACAGAATACGGATGGATGCTCCGAAGGCAATCTAAAACTAATAGGCGTGGGAGGAATTATCAGAGATGGTTAAGGACGTTGTATATTATAAACTTCTATGAAAGAATGAATGACACAAGAAGTATTCAAGCAGATTTATGGGCCGTATTAAAAGGGCTAGAACTCATACAGAGAAGATAAATAAGACATGTGTTAGTGGAGACTGACTAATCAGAAGCAGTTAAATTACTCACTCTGAACTCAGATGAGATGCACCCAAATAGAGCATCATTGCAACCTACAAACGTCTGATGGAATTAAACTATATTCCCATCATTTATACTCTCACAGAAGAAAATTAGTGTTGTTATACTGACAAACCTTGGAGTACAACTATACGGGGAGATTACCTACAATGAATAGGAATAACGATCCTCTCAATGGTGAACTTGAAACAACCAAAAGAGATCACGAAAGGGGCTAGGTGAACACCCGACTTATCCCCTCCAAATCTTAAGTCAGTAGAAGTTTGGAGGTTTTAGCACAGTATTTCTGTTTTCTCAATTTGGTTTGCATACCTTTGTTCATATTTTTGAGGAGTATTTATACCTGTATCAGCAATGAGTGCAAGGGTTTTGAGTCCTATCACGGAATTTAATCACTTGCACTTTTCTGTACGTGTAATGAGTGCTCTCTACTCAGATCCTCGTGAGTCTTTAATGCTCGGGTGATAGGACAAGTGCTTGGGGGCATGCCAATCACTTATGGCTATCCTCGGGCACTCAAGTTCCTCTGATCGACGCCTGACGCCTATTTTTCGAATGTTTAATGCTCGGGGTATATTGCCTCGGAGTTTGCCGAGAGCATATGATCGGTGCAACGATCATTAATGTTTTGCAATTATGGCTATCAGTTTAGGGCCTTGAGGATGCAGATGCTCATTAATAGTCTTGCCATAGTCTGTCTTATCTCTTTAAATGCTTATCCCAACCCGTTCATTCGGCTCCTTCGAGTAGTAACTCCTTGACGTCATATCCCGGCGCCTTTTGAGTTTTATAACAACTACCACAATCCACATGTCAGTCTGGGGCCTGCTGGTCCTCCTAAAGTTCCGTCAACTGCCCCCAACCTCCATTCTTGTTGCAGCGTGGGACAAATGGCACATGGAGATTGGTGGCTTCCAGAACATGCCGGGGTGTCAGGGGTGGTTACTTGCATGTCTGGCGTCGCCTTTTTCAAATTTTCAAACGATAACTTGCCTCTTCGATTCCTACTCCCTTTGTAGGGTATAAATAGGAAATCGTTTGCCAATTCATAGACTTTACATCCTCGAACTTTCTCTCAGTAATCAACCTTTGAGCACTTTTCCTTTATCTCTCGAGCGACCGTTCTCCCTTTCCCAAACACCTCTTCCAAAGATCAGTCATCTGTAAGTATTTTCCTTTTCCAAATTTCTCCTTCACCTACTCTTTCTTCTTCCATATTTCTTCAAAAAAACTCATTCATGACCAGAATACGCAGAACAGTAGTTAGGGAACCTGCTAGGCCTAAGGATACTGGTAGGTTGAGGAGAACTAAGATAACAGACTCCAATATTCAAGCCTTTAGGGGGAAATACCATATTCTTGGGCCCGTTTTTACCTTTCTCTTTGATCCTGGTTTCCATAGTAATGATATAGGGAATGTACAANGTATATAATCGAGTCATGTTTGGTTTACTCGTTTATAAAACGGGTGGTTAAAAAATATTCAAATCCTCTAATTTTGTGGCGTGTTAATAGATTGTGTCATATTTTGATATTCGTATATGAGATTTAAATTTTCTNGGGTGGTTAAAAAATATTCAAATCCTCTAATTTTGTGGCGTGTTAATAGATTGTGTCATATTTTGATATTCGTATATGAGATTTAAATTTTCTATAATTTTTTTATTTTAATTTCATTGACGATCACTACACAATTACTTCATGTAAGATTTATTATTTATAATTGGTTTTTTGTTTTTTCAATCTGTGAATGATTGTTTAATGAAATTAAAGAAAAAATATTAGAGAAAATTTCACTTCCTTCACGTGGATTAATGTAAATTGTGTTTGGTTTGCTATAATGTAATCGTATCCACATGGTTGAGGTATGTACTATTGAGAAAAAAAATAAGACAGTAAATATTGTGTACTTCCTACAAAAAAATATTGATCCCAAGAAACTTGGCTCAACTTAAATCGATGATAAAATTGTATGTATTCGGGTAATTAACTAGTTATATCAAATAATGCAAGGAATAATGCAATGAAGTATTATGCTAAACTCGTTTTACAGCAGTTGGTTATATATATGGTGACATAGCATTTTATGAATTGCAAAGAAAAAAGACACTAAAAACTTGGACAAATTGTAAATTTTGTGGCAATACAAGGCTTATAGATAGAGTGACTTGATTTTGCCCATTTCCCCCCCTTCTTGATCTGTTCCATAAAAGATGCTTTGCTACTTTTATTGTTCTATCTATAAGGACTAGTATTTCATGTCCTTTTAACAACATACTTTAACCCTGTTTTAATTCTATTCAAGTTACGATGGATAGTCGTTAAATTTAAGAGATTAGTCGACATAAGTCCGCAGACATCCTCCTGTAACCAAAAAAAATAAAAGACGGTTTCCTGGCCCAAGTGAATCAAGCCCATTGTTAGCAAGTACTTGATATTCCAAGGTATTCTACGGGGGAGAGAGAGAGAGAGAGAGAGAGAGAGATGGTGGATGAGGCATCAGATGGACCTGTTTGTTGTATTGATGGTTCAACCTCCTTTGGCAGCCTGGGGGAGCATGCAAACGCAAGGTCTACTTAGGAATAGTGGCATTTAACAAAAGTGTTGGATTCAAAGGGCCCACCCCAAAACACATTAGTTTTATATATATCTCACACACACACATATGGTACTATAGTAGCTAGGGAAGTTTGGCTAGTAGCTATGGACTCCATAAATACATGGCATGGCATACAATTAGAATCTATCAGAAAACCTCCTAGACTAATAGGTTGGGTTTACACTCCTATATGCTGGAATAAGACAGAATACGGATGGATGCTCCGAAGGCAATCTAAAACTAATAGGCGTGGGAGGAATTATCAGAGATGGTTAAGGACGTTGTATATTATAAACTTCTATGAAAGAATGAATGACACAAGAAGTATTCAAGCAGATTTATGGGCCGTATTAAAAGGGCTAGAACTCATACAGAGAAGATAAATAAGACATGTGTTAGTGGAGACTGACTAATCAGAAGCAGTTAAATTACTCACTCTGAACTCAGATGAGATGCACCCAAATAGAGCATCATTGCAACCTACAAACGTCTGATGGAATTAAACTATATTCCCATCATTTATACTCTCACAGAAGAAAATTAGTGTTGTTATACTGACAAACCTTGGAGTACAACTATACGGGGAGATTACCTACAATGAATAGGAATAACGATCCTCTCAATGGTGAACTTGAAACAACCAAAAGAGATCACGAAAGGGACTAGGTGAACACCCGACTTATCCCCTCCAAATCTTAAGTCAGTAG